CCGACACTAACACTAGTACTATTGTCATTTGGCACAACTCTCTCCACTGCTATATTGTGGAGTTTACGATGAAAGAGCAGGACCATGAGTCCTAGATGCTTGTTGTCACATATTGTGCTCAAGCAGGCGCACCACTGGAATCCGCCAGACCTATGTTATACACTGATCAGACCACATAGTTGGACTGTGCCTCGCATCGCCGAGGAATATACCATTTATTTATGTGTGTCATGTACTGTGTGATAGCATGGGGTGCGCCGGTTTCATTGCGTCAGGGTCCGGTCTCATCCGTTAGCATGCGTGTTTCACTGTCAAAACCCATAGTGCCTCTACAGCACTGCTGGCCTCATGATAACCCATTGCTTCTAGCCAATGAGGATCTGGAGGTAGCTTACCACGGGTTCATCTCATCAGGTGCACTGGCAGCTGGCAATGTTTACTCCTCCGTATATTTATTATAATTACACATCAGTGGTCAACTGGGTTGGTGCACCACTGTTACTGTGTCGCTCAAGTCACCGAGTCACATTGGACAGATCATAAGTTTGAGTTCATTAATTTCGGGGGAAGCGCACGCTGTTGACTAGTCCCGATTGTGCAACACGGTCGTTTAGTGCCTTTTGTGTGTGTGGCTACTTACTGACTGGTTCGGACAGCGACAAACCTATTCAAAAGTACATTTGAGCTGACATGTTTGTGGCAAAGTGATAGCAGGACTTGAAACATAACAGCATCCCATCATTGGTAGCATTTCCTGGTTATATCCAACTGTTCCTTCCGATAGATATCTTGTTTGCGATGCCTGTAGTTGCTATGGACTTCCTGCTGTAGCGTATCTGTCCCAAGCTATCCGACTTCCACCGTAGGGCCACTTCGTTCCGACACATACACTGCAAACATGACGGGTACAAGATTTCTTTTGTACAACTACCTGGACAACCAGTAGTATCTCTGGAATACTACTCCAAAGGTGGCCATTGTCTTGCTGCGACTTCTTTTGATGTTTCCATGTATACACGGAGATTATGCAGTAAGTCGAAATTTTGCTAGTTTTTGGTTGAATTTTGAGATGTTCACCGAACAGGGTTGCTCAGTTGCAGACTTCACCAACCGAAGTACCTCTTTACTATGTACTGCGATTCGTAGTGTCGCCAGTAGGCAAATCCGTGAGTGCCGACGGGACTTCTGCAACGAAATAACCCACCTCGACGAATATCTTACGGGGAGACTCATAGTTGTATGCTGAATTTCATGCACAATAAATATTTCGAAGTAATCCACTATGTATTTGGGTTGCGCCGTTCAATCCCGCACTCGACCACAAGTTGCTTCCCATCCGATAGTCCGACTGTTCCGACAGTCATTGTCTGCGGAGTTCGATAACCCAGCAGTGAGCACTTCAGTCCACAGTCACTTCTTTCCAGGTTCAGATCCATGTTCCGTCTCCTTAAAGGTCCACACAAAACCGAACTGGTTGTAAAGTGCCGCATCCGGATCACGTTGCACTAATATTCCCTTCCTTGAGCACTTGTCTCTTCTGTGGGGATTCGTTCCATTTGCTCTTCACTGATGCTAGGTCTTTTAAGATGAAGATATTTGTCGATCATTTCTGATAAGTTCCAAACTGGTGGCAAACGCCATAATGATATGCAAAACCGATATCTCTATCTTGACCCTTCAGTCTTTCCAAAAATGCTTAGTGCGCACGTGAGGCCGCATGCGGAATACGCTATTCAAGCGTGGCAACCCTGGCTCAAGCACCATCTCATCGCGTTCGATACTGCACAACGTAGGGCAACGAAGAGCGTCAGAGGTTTGACCAGCATCTCCTATCCACTCAGGCTGAAGACTCTCAAAATATACAGTGGACGTTATCGGCGTCTAAGTGACGATCTCATAATGGTGTACCAGATCCTGAGAAACCCCAACCACCCATGCCATTCCCTTCTAATACTCAGTCAAAACACCCCGCTAAGAGGTCATCAGTTTAAGCTGGTCACACAGTACAGCCGACTGGAATGTCGGCGAAACTATTTCTCCATCCGAGTGTCACAGCCTCGGAACCTCCTCCCGGAACATGTAATTAATGCACCCACCCTATCCCTTTTCAAAAAACGCCTTGACGAAACTGTCACATTTACACCACGTGCTATAGCCCGTGACCACCAGATGCTGGCACTAATGCACAACAGACAGTGGATGGTGCCATAATCCTACTCGAGAATGAGTCACTGCAAACCCCATGCACACAATTTGATAAACGCTACTACTCTACGAACTGGATTTCTATATCATGTCGACCCGAGATAGCTGCACACGAGTAAGCGTTGTCCTTGCTATTTTTATTTTTTCTCGCTTATTACGTGATCAATAACCACTCCCCTTTTTGCTTTGTGTGCGCACATTCTCATTTCAAACTCTCTTTATACGGCAGTGCAATTAAATCCGTAATCGCCCGAACCGACGATTCCATTATCCCTTGATCTATCTTACACTAACCACCCTACATGACATTTCAAGCACCTGCTTTTATACCCGTTATAAATCATTGTTCATCCAGTCGCTATATTGCAGGAGATATGAAACAGATTATGTCGGTCACTTTATCCCTTGTCAAAGGTTAAAGGCATCTCCTCCACTGTCTGTTGGTCGTTTATTCGCTGACAGTTTGGCCACCATCGTCAACGACAACGACATGCAATGATGTTACCTGTGCTGTTTTTATGGCAATACCTTGGGGGTCACTCGCAAAGGATGGCGAAACACGTGATATTGAAACCTTTACATTACTATGTATATCAAACGCTCACGAGGCCAACTGCGCACCTTTACTGATGAATCGTTGCACTTTCACAGTAGCGATACGTCTCAGAGTCACCGCCTAAAGGGACTCTGCAGGGTTAGTGCGGGTTTTCCATCGCATGGCCTAGGTACATAGTGTTCACTCTCGTCAAGCACATGATGAGGCTATGTTGTGCAACACGAATTCATTCGTATATCCCTTATCGACCTCTGTAGAGTGGTTTTGTTAGGATATGGAAGCACATTCGGAGGGTCTTTGTTTCCAATCTTCGCGCCTTTCGTCCCTATCTCATGAGATCAGCATAGTGTTCAAACGACTGGCTTTGAAACTGCTATCTTCACTGTTAGACGCCACGAAGACTACCGGAACACTTCTAATGCACTCGGTTGCAGCGACTAAAGCTTTACGTTCACTTGGTTTTGCGATTATGCCCCATTCGTTTGTGGTTTCAAACCGGTAAAATCTTGATTAGCGTCTAGTGCGGGCAAATATAAGTTGTGTCGATTGTTATATCGACGTCTTATTGAACTTGACAACTGTTTGTTGCTTCAATCTTTTCTGTTCGTTTCCATCTGCCTTTTTCATCTGGAGGGAGCTATGATTCCAGTTGAAACAGCCTTCGGATGTCTATAAGACGCAGCCATACACCCCGTCACCCACCGTTTCGCACACTCTCCAGTCTCGAACGAATCAGGGATGTTTTCCAGTTAAGCCCCGCCACCCAAAAAAGATTCTGAAAAGGGAGGATATGGAACTTGAATTTTTACTCTCTATTGAAGAGGGTGAAATTGACACAAGTCATTGATAATTTGCATGAAAAGGTCCATTTTTCGGTGTCTTTGTCTCCAAACGAACTCACACAGGTAGCTGTCCACTAAAGATCGGTGTGTGCCGCATTCGCGCTTTTTCTGCATCTTGTAAATGTGCCAGAGAGATTCGATGGTTTGTGTATGAGCTCCAGTCGTTGGATTCACAAAGTTTTCGGTATGATTAACCGTTTGATGAGTATAACTCATGCCAATCATCGATTCAATGCCTTGGTATGATGCCCACATATCGGAAATGATAATTGAGCCGGGAGCGATGCAGGTCTGGATTGTGTCCAGCAGAGTGGCCGCAGTTCGATCTGGCACTGCATACAAGAACACTTCTTTAGTCTCCCGGCAAATCCCTCCGAAAATCCACTGCTGGGGAAGGACTCGCCCTGCATGGTTTTTACGACGTGATATTAGGGTTTCATCGATCTCGACATGTAGACCTGGGCCGCCGACAATCGTTGGAGTCTGCAAAAGCTGCCAGGCACAAATTTCACGCAGAAAGTTCTTCCAGTCGACAGCGGTCGCGTGGCCAATAGATAACTCCTCTAAGCAGAATTTGATTGTTGTCAGATTTTTGGACCAGCAATAAATGAATAGGATTATTGTCCTGAAATCCATCCTAGACCGCTGCAGCCAAGTTCCCTTTCGAAGACCGGTTTCTTGCGGACGCTGTCGGCCATCACACCTCCACCTGTCAGGAACAGTTGAAAGTGTCATTTGGTGTCCTCGTCTGCATAAACGTTGATGATGAATCACCCCATGGCTTTGCAAAAAACGTATTACTGTTTCCTTGTCATGAACGACCGCCGAAAGCGTCAGAAAGTTCATGGCAGGTTTGACGTGCGAACGTAGCAAATTTTTGGACAAAAATGACCTTAGAAGCGGATAAGGAATGTTTTCATGGGGCACGTTCACATGCATTACATACACTGGAGCCGGCAAACAGTGGCGGGGCTCAACTTTTCACGCGTGCCCTTTTTGCACTATTGGTGGGGCTTGACTTTTCGGGTGTGCCCTTTTTGCCTTAGTGGCGGGGCTTAACTTTTTGCGCGTAGTCTTTTTGCATTAGTGGCGGGGCTTAACTGGAAAAGATCCCGAATCCGTTTTAGAGCCTTTTTATATCGCATCTCCCTGAGATCCGCAATTCATCACTCCGGAAAGACAACCAGCCTAGCGGTCGGCGAAGAAGGAACCTACCTTTACAACGGTTCCTTCATATCTTCTCACCCCATCCACTGTCTCATCCAGCTCTCATGTACCACAACCGGCAAATTCTTCCCTGTTCACTTGCATTTGGCACTTTCTTATTTTGTATTCATCACTGATCACAAATCCTGGATCGGTTCCAAACATATTTCAAGATAGCATTTGTATTTTAGGGCGAACGTTTTATGTATCCTGCGCCGAACACAGAACATTTGGTGAAAGAACTTGAGTGGTTTCTCAACGACACAGTGATAACGGTAAGCTAACTACCCCATCATGTCAGACCTTTCTCAGTTATGTTATCACTTTTCACATTTTCTTGGTTCAACTAGCCCAATTTCTTTTACCCTATCTCCGTAGGATTTTTGGTTGGGTTGATTTTGTATTTTTATCTCGAATATCAGCTCATATGACCCTAAAACCTCACACCGGGATTGCGAAATAGCTTTTTCGTGATCCTATACTTTCCAAGGGACAACACAGGAATGAAGCTTTACAATACCTCTGTCAGCTTCAGCAAACTACTTTTTGTCATTGCTTTCAACGAAAAATAATGCGGTTTGGCGTCTCTGACTAATTCACCACTCTTCAGAGTCGATGTGTATCCGTAAATTTTAAAAGTGTTTCATGCCTTAGAACTGCTTCCGTAACATGAGACGCAGTCCTCGTTGAGATTGTTTGTCGCGGTGTATTCACACAACGATCGTTTCAAAGTGATCCGTCTAATGGATCATTATCCGTTGTGACAACTGCGACTCTGTGTGTCTTAGAGGTAGAGGTTTCGGCTGCTATCCAGCCTTCGAATCACAGTCCCGCTATTTTTCTCTCTGCTGTATGCAAACGGGTACGACACCAGTCATGAAGTGCAGTGTGTTACGAGCGGATAACACCCTGACCTAGCCCAATTCTACTGCATCTAATCCGAGGAGCCGATTTGAACCATGCTGTCGCCGGTTTACTCGTCGGATGTAGCATTTCTGGCTCCTTTCTACAGGCCTGTTATTCCACCATCGCCCCTGGAGTCACTGCCGGCCTATAGCCTGCATTGTAATCCCAAGGCCTGGGTTCGAGCTTGCGTAGGGACCGGACAACCCTCGCAGTATCCTTTGCCCACTTGCGATTGGTGGTGCATGTGCGCCAGCGAAGCGTCCGTACTGCGTACCGACATACTGCTACTGATGACCTGCAGTCACACGAATCTGTTTGGAGTGTTTCCTTATCGCATGGCACTTTCAAAGATATGCAGCATGAACTGGTATTGCTTAAGTGCGAAAGGTCCCGGGAGTGCCCCCTACCATAGCCCTCCATCACTACTGATGGGAGTTGATAGCTACAGTTTGAAAATGTGGGCATTAGTTCCCATCACACAGTTCGTTTTAAATTTCTTTATGTACCATTCTATGGTGACCCACTGCTTCTGTGTATGGTGAAATCTCTGCGATCAAAGGTTCATTTATCACAGTTACATTCTGCATCATTTGGTACTCGAATCACACACCATTCTTATAGATGCGTTATCGTCATCACTTCTGTGATTTTGAAGGCAGCCTTTAATTCGGTTGCCCGTTACTGCTCTTCATGTCGCCTATTTTAAGTGTGTCGAAGATATTCCTGGTTATTCTCAAATTCTCTTACTATGACTCACTGTCATTGCTGTGCGACCAGTGTTACCATCTGCGTCAAATTCCTAACCATTTTATCCTGGCGGCATTAAAGGATTTGGGGGTTTTTAACCCCCCAGTAATAATAATAATGTATCCGCTGTACGCCGTAACGGCGCTTCGCTGCCGCGCGACTATCACCAGTTGCACGTGGGCTGAGTATACTGTGAGGATGTCCGCCTCTACGAGGATTCGAACCGGTGACCTTACGCTTGCAAGCCGGGTGCGCAGACTACTCGACCACCGGCCGAGACATTCTGTACATCTGGCGATACTATCAAAGGAGTACTGTTATGTATGCTTTTCGAAGCATGGTAATAAACCCTTTTGCACAGCTGTAGACCGACTCCTGTCTTTCAACCACCGACTCTGAATCGGCTGTGTTCTTTGGACACTTGTCGACATTTACTTTTTAGAGAGCGTATTGCTTACCAGTACAATTCCAGTTTTGATGTTTCTTCATCATCACCAGATGATGATCTGGCGTAAATTTATGTCACGATTAACGGAAAGATTTGGTACGGCTGTTGTGCAGTGTCTTCGTGGATCAGGTTGAGGACTCCTTCGAATATAATGCTTTAGCTAACACAATGCCACTCTTTCTCTAAGCCTATCACCTGTATCTGTTTATCTTCCCACCTGACAAGTATTCCTTTCTCCCTGTGTGCTGGACCGCTTTTTCTTCATTTTCCCTCATTGCCACTGGCAGTTTTTTCTCTGAAATGATTCCAAATAACACTGAATCCTACACACATTGCGTTTAGAGGCTCGGTTGGCCTACATGACTATGATGAACTACCGTTCGGGCTTACTTTGAACCATCTAAATGAACTTGTTATTGACACTGGGGTGAATTGTTGGCAGTCCCTTGGTCACGTGCCCGTGGAGCCCAGAATTCATGATGCCAAGCTGTATATATGCGGTGCACCCCTTCCCTAAACTCGGAGATCCTTCACGTTTGTCACCACGCATCACATGCTGTTTGAAGTGCGTTGGCTTATCTGCGGCATTAGCTGTTACTTCATTCGAACGAGATGGTTTCACAACGAGGTTGCCAACTCCGAATAGTAAGACACAAATGATAGCTATTAAAGCTTCTGAGGAACGGGCCTGACTACTCAGAGCTCGTGCACTTGGAATACTACAAAAATAGAGTCGATTACTGTCTCTTCTAGATAGAAGATGGTTAAGATTAACTCCTTTGCGAACAATGATTCCTAGATTGGTGTGAGTCTTCAACGCCAGCAACCACCGGAATCGAGTGGACGAAGCGGGGCTTCGGTTTGCCTAAGGACAGTCATCTCCCCGCCATTGCAGAATTTCCCACCGCGAGGTCTTGTACCACAACGGTTGTCGGGCATTGGAGCCGCTTACCCCTGTATACACTAGAGGCTATTCTCCTCTTCGTCTGTGAGACTTGGCCACTCTGGTCTGATGCCTTTAATCATGCTAAGGTGCTCGAGATGATCGTTTCCTACGCAACATTGCTCAAGCAGAATGGCACCAGCATTTCTGTTGTAGTGATGCGCGCAGACCATTACGAGGCTGCGGTGAGTAAATCAGTTCCTTAAACGCATAACCTTGAATAAATCGCGTCGACTCGGGAATGTGCTACATGTTTCCGCTCACCACTTATTCACGCGATATTTGCTGGCGATGAGCCACAGGGAAATGACGTATCTCTCGACGTAACTAGATGCCACTCTGTTTTCGGCTCATGAGTTTTCAATGCATATTTCACAGACGAGGCCAGTGGCATATTGTTCTCAGCCGTCTCCTAGTCTGTCTACATGTTGAAAATATGTATGATGCTTTGTTAACTGCGAAGCAATGGTTGATTATGACGCGCAGCTTGGAGATCTACAAACAGACAGTCTGTTTGAAATCGTCATTGACTCTGAGAGTTTACGAATTGCATCTGCACTTTGCCCATGTCGCTCTTATCCCGTTTCTATCCGTCCTCTTTGTGGAGTCATTATGGTTGATAGACCGCGATACACCACTACAATACCGTTCTATTGTCTTTTTCTTGATGATGATGATGATGATGACGGTGATGATGATGACGATGATGATGATGATGCTGATGATGATGATGAGGAGGAGGAGGAGGAGGAGGAGATGATGAGAACTGAGAACTGGTGCGAAGCAGCGAGTAGAGTTTGCTCTGTGTAGCTGCATCATTCGTCGTTTTCGGACATGAACTTTTTATTTATCGTTTCGCTCTTTGTACTTTGCCTCTGCAAATTTTTTGTCTAGTAGCATCTTGAATTTAGCCACTGTGTCCGCTTCTACTATATGCTGAGGCAGGTCGTTCCAGACATTCACCACTCTTCGTTCGAAACAGAGTTGATGGGCGACCCGCTTCAAATCCGGGACGATAAGTTTATACCGGTGTCCTCGCGTGCAGCTTGGTGTGCGCAGATGAAGTAGTTGTCTCAACATGGGGTAATCACCCAGATGTAATATCCGGTGCGTCATGATGAGGTCAACCCTCAGTCGACGATAAGATAGGGTGTATAACCCTAGTTTCTTACATCGGTCTTCGTATGGCATACCTCGTAAGTTGGGAATCAGCCTAGTGGCTACATGCTGCACCCGCTCAAGCTTTTCTACTTCGCCCCGGGTGATGGGACAGTATGCGGGAGTGCCGTACTCTAGCATTGGTCGTATTATCGAGACGAAGAGGCGAGTGGCAATCTCTTCGGACCAAGTGCTAAAGCTGCGCCTGAGAGCCCAAAGCATACGAAGGCTGTTTTGGTACAGCCTATTCGTGTTGTCAATGGACTTTAGGTCGCAGCGTGAGAGTACACCGAGGTCGCGCACGAAAGGAACGGGATGTAACGGTTGTCCAGCCACTGTGTACGTTCGGCCGTGATCACACTTACCCAACCTCATGAATTGCGACTTGGCAGGGTTGATCGGAAGGTTAACCTCTGCAGACCATGTTGAGAGGCGGTCGAGATCCTGCTGAAGTAAATCGCAATCATTGAGTGTGCGGATTACTCTCCACACTTTCAAGTCATCTGCGAACAAAGCACAATGTGATTGTAGTAGCTGAGGCACATCATTTATATGGATTAGAAACAATATCGGTCCCAGTACAGTGCCTTGGGGCACGCCGCTGCTCGATGGATACCACTCAGTTAGATGGTTGTGCACCTGGACTCTCCACTTCCGATCAGTAAGGAAATTGCTGATCCATTTGTGCAGCGAACCACCAACACCGCACATTCTCAGTCTGTCAAGGAGCACTGCATGGTTAACCTTGTCAAAAGCCTTACTGAAGTCAATGTAAATGACGTCAACCGATTGGCTTTTGTTCAGTGCTTGTAACCATTCGTGCCTCGTCAACAGTAGGTTGGTGATGCACGAACGACCTTTCAGGAAACCATGCTGTGCGGAGGTTAACAGGTTTTTCGACTCGAGAAGTTGCAGAAGGCTCTTCTTCACGATCTTCTCGAGCGTCTTTGCCAAAACTGCCGTCAGGCAGATCGGCCGGTAGTTATCCACTTTGCTTGGGTTACCACCTTTCGGGATAGGCTTTACGACTGAGCATTTCCAGTCGTCCGGTAGTAGACCAGTGGATAGTGACCTGTTAAACAGTTCAGTTACAGAAGGTGCAATTATGGTCGATAATGACTTGAGGATTAGTGGGTGTATACCATCTGGCCCAGCAGGTTTCGTCCCGTCAAGATTTGCTAGAATCTTGCGTACATCCTCAATATTGCAGTCCAGGCTGTTAAGTTCGGCTGGAGCGGTGCTCGTCGAACTCATTACAGACACCTGGTCACTTGCGAATACGGAGGCGAAGTGCGTTGCCAATGCTGACGCACGATCAGTACTCGAGGTTAGAGGCTGTCCTTCTGAGCCTTCTAACACTGGGATACTAGCTGTAGGTCTTAGGCGCCGCTTCACATATGCGAAGATCCTCTTGGGAGCAGTTTTTGCGGCAGTTGCAAGCTCCTCTTCGAAGCTTCTGCGTTTTCTTGTTTTCGCGTTATTGCAGCGATTTCGTTGTACCTTGTACGCATTGTAGTCCTCATCAGAGCCAGATAAAACGAATTTGTTCCATAGTCTACGTCGCCGTCGGGCCATTTTTTTGTACTCTTTGTCAAACCAATGTGGTTTGACTGGCCCAACTTTCCGAAATTTGAGGGGCACAAATCGGGCGCACAACGATTTCACTCCCACTTTAATGATAGCCCAACAGGTTTCAATAGATGAATCCTGTGGTAAAGACCAGTCTATCTGGCTCGCTGCTCAAATGAGGCCATTAAAGTCTGTCTTCCAATAGTTGAAGTTTGACTCTAGTGGGAGAGGATACGGTAGTGGTAATTCTAAACTGCCTATGATCACTGAGTGGTCACTCGCTCCCAGAGGCTCTAAGACTTGAATGTTATGTACACGCTGCTCACAGCTAGTCAACAGCAGGTCTAAGCATGATGGATTCGCGCGCGCTGTAATGTGTGTCGGTTGGTTGATGTGCTGTGTGGCCCCAGTTTCAAATAGCAACTCCGTAAACTTCCTCTCGACTTCACAGTGGCCGGGGAGAAGTTCAGCTTCAGGCCACTGTATTCGGGGCAAGTTGAAATCGCCCATGATGATGATGATGATGATGATGATGATGGTCTCAATTTTTCCTTGTCCACATGGCACTCTGATGTCCCCAACCTGCAGTAACGCTGCTCTCCTTGGAATGCTGCACATTCCACATGTGGCCGAATCCAACTATGTCCAATCTGTTTAGTTGTCAAAACTTTGTGAACTGGACTTGACCTTTTAGCCATGCACATTGACCACTTACGTACCGTATCCGCACAACATGATACGGCAGTAATCCTGACGCTTGGATTATCATTCTACAGTCCACTGCGGGTACTGATAATCGAAGTAATTGTTCAATACTTGTGGAATCCTTCGCCGCCACGAATACGACCATTATGTAAAGGTTCCCAGACCTACTGTAGTTTATCGGACTTTCAATTGAAATCCTCGTCAGCTTGTGTCCTCTCTTTTTATCCTCCCTAGCTATCAGTTTCCACTTTGTGCAACGTATTCTTTCATCTATCTGTTTGCCTTCAGTTCCAAGGTCGTCCGTATCGTTTCGCCCGTGGCTTATTCCAAGGCTCATGTATTTCTTCCGAATTGGTCAACCTCTATCTGGCTTACGCAGATCGTCAGTTGGCTAAATCAATCACATTGTGGGCGTCAACGGGAACGAAGCAATTCGCGGAAGTCGCTGCTTTTCGTTACCAGGACGACTATCTGTGTGTTGCCTCATCCAAAGAGGCTCTCCGTAACCTGATCGATCGATTGCAATCAAGTTAGTCAGGTTTTGGTCTGGTTACTTGTTCATGCTCCGACCCGTAGCCTTATGGGTCGCAAGCCTACCTTATGATCTGAAGAAGCGAGTTTGCGCCTGCGTAGAGGCCGTGGGACCCTAGCACTATCCTCTACCCATGTGCGACTGGTGGTGGTTGCGCATCGGCGAAGCATCGGTACTGTGTACCGGCATACTGCTGATGCCTCCTGCTTGTTCATGCTAGACAGCGTTATTTCTTGCTGGGTGAACGTCAAGTCCCGTTTTCGACTCGCAGTTCTGCTATCTGACTAGTGCAGTGAACTACGAACCTGGTCTTGTAGTGCAGTGTTTCCACCGGGCAACACATATTCATCTGATTACCGTTTTATCTTTTTTTGTGAGTGCCCGCATCTACCATCTTCTGATTGGTCACTCAAGTCCCACACCACCTCGTGAACTATGGGTTCAAACATCAAAAATACATTGAACCAAGTGACCTGGAATCTCATCACCATTAAATACGAACTTTGTAACAATGTGAGCAAATCAACATAAGGAGATGAAGACAACTGAACCTCTATGATCCATCAGCAAAGAATCCGAAAATGTGATGCTTATCTTGGACGTCAACGGCTGCAAGTTGGGGATAAAGTGGTCCCTTAAAATGTTTCGAAATACTGGTAGCTCGACTTGACGATTCAGTTAATCCCTGGGCTTGGCATTTGGGTAGCACACTTCACGTCACCATTGGATGTGGCTTCATCGGTGCAGAGTTGGCTGTGGCTTGGCTGCGAAACTCGTACCATCCATCTCTTGATTTGCCTGGTACGATTTTCGCGGATCAGGCTACAGCCAACTCTGCACTGATGATGACACCTAGTTTGGTGACGTAACGTGTGCAACCATTTGCTTAGCTAAGCGAACAAATGAACAACGGAATTTTCGATCCCTTGGCTAAGCTTTGCTGGGTGAGCTTTTTACCTACTAGCGCGGAATGTCTTTAGACGCGTCGAAAAAGGTGGCATACATTGGCCTGACCAACTTAGCGTGATCTGTTCACGATTTTCTGTGCTTTTATCGACTGGATACTTCGCGGCTTCACCTTTCCAGACGTACAACATGCTTAGGAAACCATTTGCCAAGCATCTGACGAACACACTCTAGTTATCGTAGGAATATCGAGTTCAGCGCACATTCTATAGCAACTTTGTTGTTGTCGTTGGTACCTACTGTGCCGCCGGAAAACAAAAGTAGTTCTTGACAAAATCGTAATGTATCCTGTCTCAATCTAACTTCCTCCGATTGACGATGAAGATGTTCTGCAATGTGTGCATGGAACATTGGGAACGAATAACCACACATATGAGTCACGTGTCGCCTGGGGGTAAATCGTCCAATTGACGAACGTTGTTTGGTTCACAGGTACAGCGCTGCTCCAATGAGAGCCCCTCTATCCCTAAGCTGACCAACAAAAGTGCGTTACGCTACCACCTTGTTGTTTGGTGACCTAATAAACTCAATGGCTTTAAATTTACCCATTGCAATTACCTGGTGTGTCAAGCGCATGACGATTAATAATCGCGCCAAAACAGGCAGGCACGTATAAGCCATCTTCTGACACGTTGCTGTACTCAGTACACAAATGAAAATTTACACATAGATCGTGATTATGGTGTTATATCGTTCCTGATATACATAGATGCAGATTGTCATCAAGCAAATCGTACTATTCTTCGCAACGACGAATTTGGTATATCCTCTTCGAAGACATAAACCGACGGACTGTTACCGGCCATTTCACTGGTAGTAGTCACGGGGGATCAAAAATGATTCCTTAAAATCTGGTGGCATTGATCGATTAACCCTACCTTTATTCACGTGTGCATAGTTTATCCACATGCTTGGGTACGGCTTGGCGAGCAAAATAAACGCCCTTCTGTGGACTGGGGCCGTTGTCAGTGGCGGCACATCGGGCCCATCCAACGTATCTTGACTGTCTGGAATAAAACTATCTGCGCGTTTCTCGCTCACAACATCGTACTACGAAACCGGTTTCATGCGTTTTTCGCCTTCTTCGGGTATGCAAGACGGTGCGCTTACAAAAACGATCGTAAGATACAGTGTTCTAAGCAAGCATCACCCCTGCTTCATATGCACCTGTTTCAGATATATTCTCAGTGATCGAGAGTGGATTGAGATTCCTTTCAGCGCCAATCCTGGTCTAAACTGTCTCATTATAACTGGAAACGTATCTACAGAAGCCAATTATGCGATCTGAACCAGGGATCACAACCGAGACGTGGTTATGGGGGAATACCGAGCAAATCCGATTGCGGGTTGACCTCATTATGACGCACCGGATATTACACCTGGGTCATTACCCCATGTTGTGGCCGCTGTTTCATCTGCGCACACCAAGCAGCACACGAGGACACCGGTGCAAGCTTGTTGTACCGGATTTGAAGCGGGTCGCTCACCAACTCTGCTTCGAGCGCAGAGTGCTGAATGTTTGGAACAACCTGCCTGCAGACATAGTCGAAGCGAAGTCGGTGACGGAGTTTCAGAAATTCTTGGACTCGTATTTTGCCGACTTGAGATTTCGCGAATAAACACCATAATAATATGTATATTTGGTTGCAAAATATTAGTTGTAGCTACACAGAGGCAACATTACTCGCTGCATATTTTCAGTATTCAGTATTTTAAGCGCGTGCTGACCTCCAAGGTAGCTTTCATATGGTGTATTAAAATCACCAGCAAGTATGACAACATCTGACTCGTCCGCTTTACTCAGAAAAAGGTGAAGTTCGCGGTAAAAATCATCCTTCATAGTGTCGCCGCTGCAGTCAGTTGGGGGCGTAGGCGGAAACGACAATCATGTGGCGTGGTTCTTTGCGATGTCTTTTGATACGAGATGATCCCTGAATTCGAACTGCGCAAAGCCGACTGTTAACTGGTAATCTGTCTAGCAACGCAACTTCGCTTTTCCTACTTAACCCTATCCAAACACCAGCCAAACTTGCTGCAATTGCTTCTGCGTCAGTGGATAGACGCAGTTGATATATGGTTCCGCGCTCAGAAGCGGCCGTCAGCCTGAAAACACTGCTGAGATCCTGCGACCAGGTTTCAGAAAAGCAGCAAACATCAATGGCGAGCGACTCCAGGGTAGGCTTTAGACCTGCCTGTTGAGCAATCTGCATAAGCGTTCATACGTTAGAGCAGGCCAATCGGAACATCGATCGAGGCTGAAGTATGACTCGATTGAGCTTTTCGGGTATCGACAAAACCGGAATTGGAAGCAGAATCAACGGGAGTAGGATTGACAACGAATGTAGTGTTGGTGTGTGATAAAAGTTGACGAACGACGAAAGCAGCAGGAGGGGAAGCGTGAAAAGAAGGTAAATTCATGATTTTTCTCTGCCGACATGTTATTACCCGGTTGCCCAGGTCTAAGTGAAGAGTTGACTTAGGGCTCTGGACTGAGCCTTTGGCTCAATAGCCTACCCGCAAGACAGCGGGGCGAGGTCAGGAGCTCTCGTCCACTGGGAGCCGGTGACCGATTGCACGGTTCATACACCTTTTGTTCGCCGATCTGTCAAACCGGGACCCAGTCCACCCAGAAATTCAGACTTCATCCGAGGAATTACAATGCTTTGCTGAAGCAAGGCAAGGGTCAGTGACTTTATTTAGTGGTGGGTTACATCCGCCGCGTCACAATATTGTCAAACGGACATTTGTAGTTATTTATAGAGAAAACGCTTGCCAGGCGAAAAGCTATCACGTCCTGGAACACTGCCGCCAAATTTCCCGCTGGAACGAGACAAGCCCGTTCCACCCAGCTGACACCACAATGAGGTAGTTCGGCATGTCATAACTCAGGAATGAATCAAGGATCGTAGGCAACAGCGACACAGCGGTTCGAATTTCTGTACGTCACCATCATCCTCCTGTTGCTAAATGACATCTTTGTTCACTGCTAAGATGGGTTGCTTCTAACTCCCGAAGATATTCACGACGTCGAAAACCTCACTCATACTTCCCAAGCACCATACCTTAAACCGTCTTTATGCTTCACTCCGACAATCAGACATTAGCAGTACGCTGGCGCATCGTACCGACGCCTGATTGCCACGCAACCACCACCAATCACGTGCGAGTTAGGGATGCTGTCAGACCACCCGCATCTGCGCAAGCATGAACCGGCGATCTGTGGGCTACAGATCAGACACGTGAACCAAACGACCACCCGCCAGCTCTGATTGAATCCGACTGCTCAGACCTTCCTAGATACACTGCTACCATAGCAGATAGCATTGGTTGCTCCAAGTCCTTTTGCATCCATTACTTCATTGGAAACTATCTATGCGATGCATGCGCCTCAGTCACTGAGTGTTCCTTCGTTCTACACTCTATTATTCTTTTTAAGATTTTCATCCCAGTAGTTCACAAGCTACATATCACAGCCTAGCCTGGAAAAGCACCAGACGCGTTTCGCCCTATTGGGGCTCGTCAGTGGTGCGCATTCCCTCGGTCTCCTACTGTGGATCAAACCCATGATCGCTAGAGGCAGATGCCAACTAGTCAGCAGCTCAAGCCACTGAGCCTTGGGGACGTTGGCTGGGCTACATAATTTGCAAGTTAACTGGGATATAGCACCACCTATCTTCCACTGTCACTGTGAGTCGCTAGCCTGCGAGGTGATGACCTCTCGCTAGACGCTATATCCATAGCATTTGAAACCTGGAGAGGCTATTTATTTTATATTGCTCTTAAGTAGCAGATTTTAGTTGTAATTCTTAAGGCATTCATCCCGGAATCGTTCCTCACTGGCGTTGCAGGGAAGATACTGACGTGTGCTATACTAACGTGAACCATTCGAAGCAGGAAATGATCGTTCGGATCTGGCAGTGGTTTGCGATACTCCGCGAATCAGAACTTAATAGCCGCACTGTGGGTGTTACCTAGCTTTGTAACGAAATGTGTGCAACGGAACTACCCGCTCTGAGAACTGAACAACCCTCTCACTGTATGGAATTCTCAAAGACGAGATAATTAGTTTTCTTCATTCAGGCCGACTAATCTGCATTTGGCAACAGGAGTGAGGTACACGATACCGAAGCAACTTGTGTCGAGAGGTGCATGCGCCACGAGAAGTGGTCACCGATATTCCGGATCAGGCCGTACGCTCTCTCCTGTAGTATCATTTTGGATGAATAACATTCTACCGTTTCGTAGGTTCTGTGTTTCGTTTCTCGGCTATGGCGACTTTTGCAATCCCTTTTCCCCATTTACTTTAGATCTGCACGATTTCGGATTGGCGATCAATCAAAGCAAAATGCAGTCTAATCTGGATAACACGGGTGAGTTTCAAACTTGATTACACATGATTTGCATTTTTCACTTGACATTGCGGATTAATAACCCTCCATTATCATGGGATGAGAATTATTCGTGGGCCTGACAAATGTATTAAAACATCCATCGAAGTATCGTTTTCTAACCACACCATGCAAGTAAAGGCAACTTGGGAACATTGATCTCACCCCCACCCCCCATTACATCTGGGTTTTCCTTACCCATGCAGTCTAGTCATGTGTGGCTCTCGTCTTACTGCCTCGATCACCTTTCATTGGTAATTTTCATCTCGGGTGTATTATTAAGCATGGTGACGGTTTTCACTGCCTCGTGAACTTTTCACGCCTTCATCCGTTTTCGGTTTATGGTCATTGCATGTAAAACGGTGAAGACTGTTGCGATACTCTTTAAATTTTGTCGGGAATTGTTGGCTTTATGACACAATAGACAGGTTACATTCTTCGTATTGTTCAGCATCGTCAGAAGCCATGCGTAATATTCACCCACTGCCTACCATTTTCCATATATTGTTAGAGTAGTTAAAAATGTGGTTTCTCTTAACTGTCAATTCAATACGATCAAACACGATGATCCTTCCGTCGTCTTTTATTGCTTCACCTCGGGTAAAAAATAATGCAACAGCAGTACGTCAGCACATCGTACCGACGATTCGCTGTCACTCCTCGTGCGATGGTCGCTGCCACGAGGTTGCCCACAGCTACGCGGATTCGTACCGGTGACCTACGTGTCCCATAGCAAGCGCGTTCTCCTTTCGGACACCGGCCGACCTCGTGTAGAAGACTGTGTGTTTAGAGTGAAAATGTTCCAGTCTTTTCTAGGAATTTGTTTTTTGTTGTGACTTACCGGAATTATCTGCTGCATCTCGACGTTCTCATCGTGTCTGTGCAGTTTTCCACTCTAAATTAACGTATACGCAGTAGGGAAATTTCCGATACCGTTGCCACTCGCCTGTTCAACCGACACGGCGCTTTCGCACAGCCATTGTGTGTCAGCGGCATACAGTTGAACATCTAAGGCTACCGACTGGCCCAACCATATTTCATCGGCGACTTCCGTAGTTCTCTTAAAGTCTACGTGTGCGGAATTCACGTAAGCCTGCGAACGCAGAGTGACTCGTGGTCAAACGACCCAAGGACGACAGAACACACCGAGCTGGCAGCACGCAACGTGTATTCTGGCAAGAATCTGTACAGCGCATCGATAAAGTAGTTGAGACCAAGTCACTAGTGGTTGTGTTATTTATAGGCAGACGTACACGCCTCATGTAGGGACAGTCAATGTTGCGTGCGAACATCTAACTTGCGATACTATGTCATACGCCACATTCCTCCTCCCTTTAGTTAACACTCCTCCAGATATCCCGTTAACGATCACCTGATTGACGTACTCTAGCGGAACGGTATATTGTTTGGACTTCTGGCTGGTTTGGGTTCCGCGTGTCCCCAACCGGCTCGGTTGACGGGCTTGACAATTTGTCGTCTGGCCCGATTGAAACAGAACGACGGCGGACATAAACCATATGACGGGTAACCACCCTGCCGTCCGGTAGTGCAATATCTGCTCTCTGGCCTTCAATTTCGCGTAACTTTGCAGGCTGCCACGTCGATTCGTGGGGCAGTTTGATGTAAACCGGCTCGTCTTCATGGAGTTGTCAATCTGATACCTTTCGATTATACTTCACTTTAGATTTCTCTTGCCGCACCTCGACCCATAGTCTCTGGTCAGAAAAGAGTATTACTGGCCGAATATCAGTTCGCCTGGACTCTTGTTTGTTGTTTCACTGGGGATGGAGCGGTAAGCGAATAAACGTTTCTCCAACTTCATTCGGAGTGGAGCGGGTGTTTGTTGCTACAACTCTTTTACTGTCTGAACTGCTCTTTCCGCTAATCCATTTGAGACTGGGTAGTAAGCGGTGGCCTTACATGTCTGATACCGTTATTTTGAAGGCATTCTTGAATCTGTTTGCTAATGAATACGGAGCCGTTGTCTAGTACTACCGTTTGTGGAATACCGTATGTGCAAAAACATTTTCGTGTGCAGAAAATGGTTATCTCCGAAGTGACTTGTGTCAGTGGAAGTATCTCAATCCATTTGGGGTAGGAATCTACTATCAGAAGTAGCATCTCCCCATCAAGTGGACTAAAGTAGTCTGCGTGTTTGCGCTCCCATGGTTTGTCGGGCCATTTCCATAGACCCATTGGCACCGGTGGGGTGTTTCTTTGTGTACTTTGACAGGATTCATGGAATGTGATCAATCTTTCTATCTGCTTGGCAATAGTGACTCATACGCCACATATTCCCCACCTGTTGACTCTGCGTTTGTTGAGCAGTGCCTGACTTCGACTCATTGAGATTCCACTAATCCGGCATTATCGACTGTCCCATCTGAAGTAAGCACGATTACTCTCAGCGCAAGAGGTACACGAGCTGTAGCCGCAGCGGTACTGTGGCACATTTGGCGTACAACTGATCATTGTCGTCCTCATAAGCGTGATCAAATGGGACCTGATCTTCAGACGCCTCCTATGAACTCAAGGAAAGTTTGGAGCGGAAGCTCATTCATGCGGTTCACTAGTACCGGACCGAGAAGTTTGCCACCGGCATATGTACTACGAGCAGTAGTACCGACACCAGGAAAAATTTAATTCATTATGGATTCTTTGCAACGCTGTTGTCTAGCACGCACTTTTTGGGAACACACCACATCTATATTCCAGAAAATTGAAGACTGAGAGCTAGTTCTGTCTGTTGTTAGATGTGACTCAGAGTGCGTAGGATGGGCAAGCCATAGGACGAGTTAAATGCACCATTGCTAAGTCAGCGACAGTCTTGCTCGGTAGACGGAGAAGAGCATTGCTTGTAAAGGGATTGATAAAAAAATGACAAGTGCTTATGATGGGGCCTTATGGGCAGGTTATACTCTTCGATCGCCTGTTTCGGATGAGGGCTTCTCCATGGTGCCTATCTCTGACCCAATAATCCGATCCACAAAGCGGTGCGGTTAATTGAGACTTTCTTGTGGACTCCATCTAGAGGGTTTTACTCCACACCACCTTGCGGTAAAGGTAATAGTTCTACTGAGGTCTTTGAAGGACTAAGTAATTCACATTTTTCAACAAATATAGACATCTGCGACCACGGCCAACCACAATTTGGAGTTGGCGAGTTTGCGTCTTCTTGACCAAGGACTACCTGGCTTGAGGCGGACGATGGCAAGCCATTAAACCCCCGAGTGATGCTGTCCTACCGTCAACGGAGACGTATGACACTCGTACCCTACACTAATCGATCTGACATTAATACTCGTTAATTGTACCCTCCCATGACTGGGTTTTGGTGGAAGAGGCCAACGACTTTCCGTAAAGTAGAAAAAAGAGGATGCCTTAACTGGAGTCGTCTGACCTCCAACCAATAACCCGTCATGCTAATGCAACCACCCAATGTGTTCCATTGGATCGTTGTTTCTCTGCGCAACTTCTCGCGCCACATCAAGATCCATTATCTTCGGATGAAACGATCGATCTTCTACTCATCTTTGCTCTTTCCTTATTGGTTTAGACTATTGGATTGCAAACAACACGAAATGCATGCATCTACTAGCTTTTGTCTCCTTACCGCGCTTTTCAAGATTTTGTTTGGGGTTGTTTTTACGAATTCCGGATTTGCCGCTCAAGTTTTTGTCCCTCATGCACAGCCAATGTAACTGGGATATTTTGTTTCATGACGCAACTTCTTTCGGAAGTCTGTGTCTGTTGCGTTCCAGTGTATGTTGGATTATGCCACATTTTAGACATTCACAGTCTTCTGTGTTTTGGTTGAATGTTTCGACAGCAACAGTTCATGACGTCCCATGTACACATTGGCATGCACATTTTGTGTAAGGCGAATGTGCATAGGAGGGGACATCCTGAGCTTTCCTTTCGTCGTAACGTTTGTACCCAACGCACTGAGTTCAGCAATTAAACGATCACTTTGAGAAAAGAAATTTGATTGTCGTCTAGAGCTATATTTCCGGCATCTTTTGTAACTTCAGTTTTTTTTGTAAATCCCTGCATGACTGTCGTGTGATAATACATGAACACCGGTCATCTTGGTGAACTCAGTCATTTTCTTCACACACTGACCAACCTGTGCCTGAGGTCAAGTAAACTTTTGGCAGCTGCAAACACAAGGCTAACAGGTGTGGTATCACGGAGTGGTTTTAAATCCCGTATGCTGATCTCCTCTGAGATACTTCAACGAATCTTGAGATTTTTGAGATGGTTCACTTTTCTCCTCGGATTTTCTATCATCATCATCACATTCATCTGTCTTCACTTGTTTGCATTTTTCAAATTGAAGTACAGTCAATCACATGGCTAGGAATGGAAGTCCGTAACGATTTGCATGTGAATATCCCTGAGGCAGCTCATGGTGAGTTTCTTCTGTATGGTTTTTTTGTTCCTACAGTTACATCAGCTCGTCATTCATGCCCATCACCTCGTTTGCGTACATTTCAGTCAGGTTTTGTCGCTTCTCCGGTCGACCTTCGTCTGCCGCGCTCTGCATTCGTCACCTGGACCAGTGTTACCTAAAGTGTTCGATATGGCGGTTCGCATTCACCAGCCCACGCAATATGTCACCACCGTCTCAGGTGGGCCTACACCGTTGGCGTTTGCTGATGCCGGAATCTTCCAGCTTATCTCGCATTGCTCGATTTCAGGATAATGCTCATCGTTTGGGGTGCAAGTTAGCGGAACGTGCTTGGGTTGCGATAAAAACATCACCGCAGCGTACCCGCCTCCTCAAGGTTCCTATGGTCAAGCAGCTAGCAGGTGTGTTTCCTGTTCTCGTATACTCGTAGCACGACAGGTGATTCCAACTTTGGTCGCATGTTCAGCATCACTTACTGACTTGAGAGCCATTCCCCCTCTATGAAATTTCGTGCAGATCACTTCGACCTCCATATGCGTCCTTTTTTTGAACTTACAACCCACAGAGGCCGTTTGATATAAATGGACTAAGTTGTCACTGCGAGTTGTTTTCCTAACTGCACGAATGTTATGCAGCCATCTTTCTGCCATACACATGTCAGAATGACATGTACTCTGTTATTTAAGGCATCTGCATGTGACGTTACGTCGCCGCTATGTACTTTGCAGCGCTTCCCACAATACGCAAGTAGCCACCATTCGAACTCCTCCAAGGGATCATGTCTCGTATTGTCACGAAGTACATAATTGTTTTTATCATTGGTCATTTTATTTTACTCTTCTTTCGTTGTTCGTTGCGACCTGGCCTATCTACTGAGGTGACACAGTGAAGCTTCTAAGATGGTCAGTGAACCCACGCAAGGCAAATTGCCTGCAAACCCACTAGCGTTAAAAAAGTGCTCTACTCAGCATAATCGAATGGGCCACCATAATTTCATATAAAATGGCCCGAAAAAGCGATGACGACCTGTCTAAATATGCGTCGCACCGCAACACTGCCAGATTGCGCTGAAATGCCTATCCGAATCAAATATAAAATGGCCTCAGAGATGAATGAAGAAGCGGTGATAGCGTGCATGGTTTTAAGCCACATCGGCACATTTCCAGATGGGAGTGGAAGTGCGGGTGAACCCCTAAAGGGAACTACGCCGCATGGAAGTACGTCCCCAGGAATCGGTTCTGCGAATAGCCGTATTACTTTAATTGACAGCTTTTTTCTCTTTCAAATCTGCCACAGCCCTTGCACTCCTTTAATGCATATGATCACTTCTGTGGCTGTGGTTGTGTAATCTGATCGTGAAAGGGCATGTCTCACAAAACCGAGAGTATGCATTATTATTATTACTACTACTATTATTATAACCACTCATCGCCTCTCATCTGAGCATAAACTTTGCACCTGTAAGCGTAACTCTGACCTGAATTTTAGGTCTGTATGTCAAGCTTTCCACGAACTCCGCTGCGCCGTTGAGGAAAATGGTCGCTGACGGTTTTGATCATTCACTGCCGTTCAATTGACGGCGATCCAAAGCGTGTTGCATTGCGTATGACGGTCGTCCTTCGACTCATCACCTTTTTGTCTGATCTCTGTCTCCTGCGAATTCTACTGTAATCTACTGTTTAGAATTGCGTTTTCCAGCATTTCCTCGGCTCGTCTGTCGCGGCGCGCCGAACTCATGAGGACACGGAATCCCCGCATAGTATTCCTTTTGTTAATGATCACAACGATTGAGTAGCACCTGAAGTTGTCCCCTAAGTGTTGTTGCTTCCAGGCGCCCCTTGAAAGCGAAAAGATAGATCGCGTTAGTGTGTTTATCATCTTCTTGGGTGGGGTCGATCACACCAACTGGTACAATGCCTGTCGGATATGGTGGAGACGTGAGCGCAGTAGCGCGATTGAATTCACTCCCTTGTTGCTAGCTCCGGGCGCTTCTTTTTGGCGGTTGCTATGTCTCTTTCCTGTTGTTTTGTTTATCTTCTGTTGTCCTGTTCTTTCTGTCTTTATGGCGTTGTGAGCCTAACACTAACTGGCTACTAGTGGATCACATGTTTGGCTAAGCCTAGGTTTTCACGGTTTTTTACCTTACGCATTTGGCTGGGGCTCTCCCATTGCGCTTCTCCCCTGTCATAGTTATTGTTTTGGTATATTTCTGAGTTGCTACTCTTTTTATTGTGCTTTCCTCATTGTAACCACTTTGTTGGAGAAATTTCCCTCGACTGATTCCTGTGTGTGTCTGCCTGTAACTGTCATACACATGGTTCAGTCAAATTCTACAAGTCTTGAGCTACTTCCCTTCTTGCAAGAATTTCCTCTCACAAATTTGAATATAGCAAGAGGAAACAACATAACAGTATGTACTGAATTCAGCAATTTCACATATTCTCCCCAACTGTTTACACACCCTTTGTGGAATGAATGGGTTGCATATATCTAACGCGGTTGCCTTTTACCGGTGGAATTTAACTCAGTCAAAAACCATTGTGTTCATGTGACTCCGGTCAGAGTAAAACATCGATCACTAGCGTCACCAGCGTAGGACGATGTAGGTCGCCGAATCGGTCTGTTTGTGCAGACTTATTTTCAACCGCTGAATCGCCAACGTTTCAACGAACTGAAATAGGCGGGTTTTGCTTTGTTTGTCAATTACTTCAAACCCTTCACGTGGTTTTGGCACACAGCGCGACCAAGCATGTAGCTAATGGAGCTAATGGTTGGCTTTGGGTCCTTCGCAGTCATGTTACGCGGGATGGGTTCCGCAATCCTTCAGTTCGGCCAATGTACTTGCTACCACAAGTGCGGTTAGAAGGTGGACGCATGCAGCGCTTACTTTGGAGTCCCGTCTGTTCAAGTTGGATTTGCACATCCAGGTTCTGACTTGGTGCGTTACCACTAGGTCAGCTGTGTAATAGCACTTCCTTAATAGAGTGACGGGGACGATGCAGATCTCTGTCAATTTGGTCCCCTTTAAACGACGGCGTTATGAATTACATTTTCTTTGCAATATCTGTTGATGGTTTATCGGGGTTGTAAGTTAGCATGACGTGCACATTCAATTGGCAGCACGGTCGCAGCTTCTCGATGGAACGTAGGTTCCGCGTGATGGTTCTGTTTTTGTATTTTGCTTGACACTTTTATCGTTCGTTGTACTTTTTAGGTAGCGTTCTGCTCTTGCAATCATTAGGCATTACACTGGAGGCTGTCCCCACTCGGTTCTTTTTAGACTGTCTAAGTGCTTGTTTCTGTAATGTTCTCATGGTCACGCAGTCGTGTGCTGCCCGTTCCTTTTTTCGTCAAGTTATGTTGTTCACCCAGCACGATCTTTAATAGTATGTTTTTAACCGGATTATACTGTAACCACATGTTGCATGTGACAACGATCCCTCTGTACCCGTCCTTTCCTCTTTTGTTGTTTGTCTCTACCGTAGCAATTGTCGCCCGCCGCCTTATCTCCACACTCGGACGAATTCAGGCGGATTTAGTAAAAACAGCTGCTGCTGCCTTTCAATTTCGTCTGCGTGCCCATCGGGGGGAGGTGCATTACCTTTTGAAACATGTTCGAAGGCGAATCAAGTCATTTCTCTTGTTGCATACCGTGAAAAATAAATTTTAAATATGTTTCCTCCTTTGTCTTCTCTCACCCTACGCATTTGCGTTTAGGTAAACGGTTGGCTTCCTCTGGGCTTGTAGAGTAACGCTTACACACTCCCCAATTTCCTCGCATGTCATATTACCAAGCGGACCTATCCGGTGTGACTTCTCTGCTTGTTGTCGCGTACAATCATTTTGACTGTTTTTCCTGTTTGAGAACTTCTGCCGTCGCTCGTGTCATCCGTTTCAGGTGGACAATTATTATTGTTTTCTGGATACCGGTATTCTAAGACCATATTGTCGACACGTATCTATAATTAAACAGCCGTGAGTTTCACATATAGCATTTTACTCATCAACTTGCTCGTGAGAGCCATCTCGAGCTTCACTAGAAATCGTTTCATTGTTATCAATTTCCTTCCTTGATCAGTGTGCTCCAGTCGGTGTCAAGAGACAGTAAATATGTCAATCAACCTCAGCACTTTATGCACTATCAAACTGCAGTACGCATAATTCCCTTTATGGATCATTTGGTCCAACCTGCGCAGCTCATAGCCTATGCTGCTGCGGCCGTTTCGCCTCCGTGACACCTCTTCCGAACTGAAGCTGCTTCACAACTATGTATGCTTGCTCCGTTTCCGATATTTTGTGTCGACTTCAACCAGTTGAATTGGTGGTTCTCCTCTCCTCTTGCTAGATCTTCATTGTATGTTGTCTGCGAGTTCTTGTGTCTATCCAAGGTCCGGCCTCCGTTGATCTGCGTGCCTGATCCATTTCTTCTCTCCAATCGTTAGTTCGCATTTGACTCCGCCCCTTCCGGCCATCGGCGCTTCTTCCGACTACCTCGGTCGACGGAAATCTCTCGCGTTTTTCCTGTCACAAATATTGCAATGCTCGAACCGGCCTGCCCGATTTTTTCTCCACATGCCATCGTCTCATCTCTTGACTGTGACTCTGGAAATAATGATGGTAACACCTGATTGACTTGCGGTTGCTGACATCTGCTGTTCACTGACTGATCTAGCAATTCCAACTCATTCATCCAGTCGAGATCCAGCAGTTCGAACCCTGGCTTGTCTGTCATGAAACATGTTGTGCGGATATTTTGCTCCCCAAATCTGACTTGACAGTCCAACTGACCAAGCAACTTCAACCTACTTCCTGACGCGTACTGTACTCTTTGATCCGTTTGTATTAGTGACGGACCCCCGAGCGTGCACCACATATCATGGGAGACCAGGATTGTGTCCGTAGCCGCATCTAGCAGCAACTTGACTTGTAGGCCACTGATTTCCATCGTCGTATAATTACCTATGGTGAGCCCATAAACTTTGGATGTGGCAATGAAAGATCTAGTCATATTGAGATGTCTGGACGGAACTGCGTTGTTTCGCTTCTTCCTAGTCAAAATGGGACGACTTACCGGGCAACACCGCTCTTTTTGTCCCCTTTTACCACAGCGATTGCAAATGTGATTTCTGAGGGGTCCGTTCCAGCTAAAGTGCCTTTCTCAATAAAGCCAACTAGCAGAAGGAAGTTTGGAATCCGAAGGAATCACATGAACTGATTCGTCCTGGGGACTGCGGCTAACTGCGCGGATCAGATCATGATCGTTGCGGTTGGACAGTTGCTGAATCATTGACGTGTCTTGCTTTAGCTTGGTCATTCCTTGACACTCGCTGGTTATCTGCTGCAGCGTGACATCCGGGTTCTGTTTCATCTTGTACAGAATCCTTGTCCGAATGTCAGCATCACTGGTCTCTAGTAGGCCGCACACATACGAGCCACTTGTCCTGGTCGCCGGTAATCTTGTGAAACTGTAAATGTTCACACTCGCGATTTACACAGCTCCAGCCACCGTGAGACACTTCTAAGTCATGTCGAACTAGGATGTATGCTCAACGAAAATTTGCGATGGAATTGAGACAACTTCGTCAAAGAATAGGTCAGTGCTCTTCTTTGGCAAAATAAGTATGTAAACGTTCTAAGTTCAGCCGCATCTAGCTTCCGGAGAATCAGGCTAATTTTGCTCTCCTCCGGCACATTCGCGAAACTAATATTGTAAGCGTCAATTCGCTTGTAAACGCATTTTCACCGGTTTCAACAAAAAAGACCGAAACTAAAATGCGGTATTATTTACAAATAAGTACAAACTGCAGTATAGAGCAACTCAACCATCTGTGTTTCCGGCACAGGCGTCTCAAATAACTACAACAATCGAGGGTAGCTAGCAAGCTCATCTCAGGATACTGGAGCTTACACATGACCAGTCAGAAAGGGAGGTTGCCGTGAAACGTGGGAGTTTGGCTGCTGCCTTAAACACGCACACCGTGCTGGCGTCGCAAGCGTTTCAATAGCACATGGTGAAGGATTTATACTTGGTCTCACGGACGAGGTGGTTTCATGTATGTGAACTATACGCACGTGATCTTGCCACATCGTCAGGTCACATGCGATGTGAGGAATCGCTTGCTAGCCGGTATCCGAATGCGACGGTGTGAAAGTTAAAACGGAACATCCCAAAGCTGACCACATGCGCAGCCATGTGAAGCGACATTGAGTTCTTTTCAGAACTTGGAAATATAGGTCAATGCATGCAGGATTGAATGTAGTCATCTACGTGTTTAACATACAGATAAAGGTAAATAACGGAACCGAATACAAACTCCATTGACAGCCAGATAATAAAGATCGGTTTGGATAGGAATGGAGTTAGTTAAATGAAATCACAGCAAGGAGGCAGAGTGCAATTGGAAGGCATCAGAGGATAGGACAGTTGGGAATCTTCTACACGCGCGACCAAATTTCGACCGAAATTTCTTCTGGGTTGTGATGTACTCAGGTTCACCTTAGGCTGCTCCATTCGCTATGGGAGAATTACAGAACGTACGACGGTACGCCTGCACTCTCCTACTTCGGCATATTGAGCTCACAGTGGTCCTACCTGGGGCGGCAGCCTCCAAGCCCCGCCTCTTATGTGTGGTGAGCCAGCAGCCAAGACTGAACCTTGTCGAAGTAACTGCTTTCTCTAAACAAATCCGAAACGCAAAGTTGAACTAGTGCCATTTAACCAACTACAAGAGTAAAAACCATGTCTTCCTCTGATCCATTACTTGATAATTTCATTTTATTCTAAAGATATTTAGCAATTACAGTAACACCATCCGAAAGGACGTGATAAACACTTAAATACACCTGGAAACAGTCATCGTTGAAGCAAGTCGTTATGGGCGCATTTCGTTCTAGTTAGGAGCTTGCAGCGTCGATGTCAGTCTCTGATTTACTTGCCACTACGGACGTAAGCAAATGGAGTGTGAAGAGTCAGTGACCCAATGACACTATAATCGTACGGGGACAAAGATTTACTTGTTAGCTTCTATTGGCGTGTTCGTCCAATGATGGAGAATGTTATCGAACCATGTTTCACAAGACCCTGGTTGACTAGGAGGGCCCTGTGATCCAAAGGCAAAATATGATAATCGACCAGGAGTAGCGTGTCAAAGTACCGCAGATCTGGTCCTTAATTGCTGGATCATATGTTTAAAACCAGTCTAAGTAGACAAGTGTGATCGTGGTTCCGACTGCTGCTAGTGGGATGGAGCACGAAACTACCGAGACTGTGACCTATCTCGCGAATATTGGTGCTCCGTTGGTACTTGATTCTAACCATGCTAGCTAAACTTCCTCCGTGTGGTGCCAACTGGGTGGCTCAGGTTTACCCCGTACCAGCAAATCGTTCGGCGGCAATGTTCCAGTACGTGGTGCGTTTTTGTTTGGCAAGCCCTCTCCATATAAATTGCTATCAATGTCTGTTTAACAACGCTGTGACGTGGTGGTTGTGACTCACCACTAAATATAGTCGCTGCCCCTTGCTTCCTAATGGCGAGGCACTGCAAATCAGCTAATTAATACTCCTCCGTACAAAAATTGCAACTTCATGAAACGTTAAACCTCTCTTGAGCACTTGAGACACGTTCAGACACAAGCGGAAGCAGCAAATCCTTTAAAAAGCCAAGCGCCGAAGCTACACACGCCTACATAAATACATTTATGCATCAACCTACATGACACTTCTATGACAATCGTACATTGCTTGAGCATCTGCTGCAGGCTTACCTTGATCATGCCTGTGCAGACGTGCCTGACATAGCCGAGAGTAAGAGTTTATTTATTTATTTAATGCTCTACTTAAGGGGAACTTCAATACACCAAACGACTTTTGTTCTCTTAACTACTGATGACAGTAGCTTACAATTTCACGTGGCATGTCGTTAATTTCTTGATCGATTACTATATTTTTCAATTATGTGCATTGTAACCATTCTAACAGGAGAATACGTAAATAAACGGATCGCTTTATTTCTAGGCTGGCTAGATGCGGTGCCCGCTAGTGTCAGACCAATATTTAGCTCAATCCTATGCTCTTGCATAGAGGTTGATAACTGTGATAGTATACGCTCCTTGATGGCAATTACGAATGCATAGGCTTTTGTGCGTGTACAGCGGATGGGGTTGTAGCGCCCACCTTGAAATTCCTCTGGTTCTTTCAGACGATCTTTGTGCTCCATGATTTTATTAGTGGCGAAAATATGCGCAGAACCGTTGTTGTGCATGTTTTCTTTGGAAGCAGGATCTAACTCACCAAGAACTTCAATATAATTTCATTGGACGATTTCGGCACGCACAGTTGTCCCATTTAACGGTGAGCACAAGGTGTAAAGAAGTTCCTGGAGTGGGGTATCGGCGGGAGCTAGAAAACGGGCACGGAACGAATCAACGGCGGTAGAAAGCAGCACGGAGTCAATCACAGCGGACACACGACGCGAGAAGCACACGCAGCCACCGGGCACTCACAGAATCGCAATACGCAACCGTGACACGAGCAAAACGAGCAGACACGGGGCAAGCACGTTTATCCACAACAGGAAAAACAGACGTGTACAGGACCTTGAGAAGACAATCAAAACAAAAAGGGAATGTCAAAGAGTTTGGGTCGGTAAAGTGGCTTCGCACGTTTTCACATATCTGTGG